CAAATTTCTTTAAGAGGAAACTCCCTAGGAGCTGAGTTGAAGCAAAGGGGTTTGAAGAAAGATGCACAAGAAAAGGAGCCTTTTGGGTTAGGGGTCCAAACTCTTTTATCAGGTTTAATAGGATCCAAGCAAGAGTAGTAATTCAGAAACTTTGATGACATTCCCACAAACGACTTGCTTAGAAAGTGGGAGGTGGCTGATTCTTCTCTTCCAAGAGTTGTTATTAGGCCAGTTTGGGTCCCACCTCCTAGTGGGTTTTTTAAACTGAATTTCGATGGTAGTAGTGAGGAGAATCCGGGCCCTTTAGGTATTGGAGGTGTTTTTTGGAATGAGGAGGGAGGAGTTATTGCCCTTTACTCAAGACCAATAGGTGTGGGAGACTCCTTGAGGGCAGAAACCCTGGTTGTGATGGAAGGGATCCAAAAAGCAAAGGAGCTTGATGTAACCGGTTCCCACAGATGACGCCAATTGATGTAACCGGTTCCGGTCATGTATCATTTTTTCGTGATGTGTCAATTTTTTAGCTAAGTACCTCATCATCTAGTCTGCTCTCATGTGGTCGGTGACTCAGAGGCTGAAGTGGAGCTCCCTGGTGGCGAGCTACCTTGATGCCGAGCTCCCTGGTGGTGAGCTACCTTGATGAGCTGCCTGGTGGTGAGCTACCTTGATGGGCCGCCTAGAGGTGAGCTACCTTGATGGGTTGCCTGGAGGTGAGCTACCGGGTGGGCTACTTGGCTTTCTAGATGAACTTCTTGGTGGTGAACTACCTGGTGGCTAACTACCCTGTGGTGAGCTACCTTGATGAGCTGCTTGGAGGTGATAAGAGAATGAGAGAGCTAGAGAGCAGAGGTTACCCATCCCCTTTCTTTATCATGCCTTTGCTCCTGGGGGGTGAGGTCTTTATATATTGGAGTCCTCATGGGTTAGGTGGAGCAGTTCCTGGATCCCAGCTGTGATGGGACTGGCTTGCGTGTTAGGTTGGTGAAATGCCATCAAACGGTAAAAATGTCCCTTCCCGTCAGAACTAGGGAGTGGGTGAGTTGATATAGTCGTTACAAGTCACAACCCGTAAAATGCAGGGTACAGAGGTGTGTTCCTCGAGGTTGTTAGGTTGGCGCCTGTGTCAGGCTGCTAGGTCGGTGCCTGGGCCAAGCCACCAGGTCGGTGCCTAGGCCAGGCCGCCAGCTCGTGCCAGGGCTAGGTCGCACCAGGGCCAGGCTGCCAGCTCGTGCCAAGGCCAGGCTGCCAGCTCGTGCCAAGGCCAGGTCACGCCAGGTGGGACACCATCAACTCAGCAAAGGCAAGTTGTTGTCAAAGTGGTCCCGGGTGTCGCCTAGTTGTTCTGAGGTGCTAGGCTACAAGATGGCGAGTTGCCTAGTGGCAAGCTGCCTGTGGCAAGCTCGAGCTGTCTAGCTGTCAAGGGGCTGCACTTAGTTGGCATGAGGTGCCAGGTGTCACGATGTCATTGGAGGGCCAAATCCACCCTCATCAGAGCTCAATATAAGAAAGTTGATCATATAAGGGGATTTGAAGTTGGTAGTTATCTGGCCGCAGAAAGACGAGACTGGCTAGTGGAAATTTGGAGGAAGTTTAAGTTTTTAACTCAGGATATATAGATCAAGTTGCAGTGGGTTAAAAGGAGTGCAAATGCCTTTGCCGATGTTTTGGCAAAGCAAGGGATCAACTCTTCTGGGATGTTCTGTAATTGTTGTTCCTTATTGTCATCTCGGAGAGAGTTAAGAGAGTTTATCTCTCTCCCAGATGTTCTCTTGTATCTTCTTCATTATTAATGAAATTTCAGGTTATTGATAAAAAAAAAAAGAGTAGTAATTCAGAAACACAAGCAGACCTCTCATCCTTTAACCCCCTATGAAAGCCAAAGTCCCAAGATAACAACAAAGGGAGAACCAGATTAGGAAAAAACTTAGAAATTGCATCTTATTTATAAAGTGAAAGAGAGTAGAGAGAGGGGAAGAGAGCTTTGAGGGATTGGTTACCCACCCAAACATCTTCCCAGAACCGAACTGAAAAACCAGAGCAAGCTTCGTACCTGATTAGGCTGCGGAAACGGGGAAGAATGCTATGAATAGCCTTCCAAGGTGTTGTGAGAGTTGCCTGACGAGATACCCCAGCATCCCAACCATCTTCTCCGTAGCCATGAATGCTAGCCACCACCTCATGCCATAAGGTGGCTGCAGTATGAAAGAATTTATTGTTTCTCTCCCCCAGCTTAACCCAGTTAATTCTTGACTTTTGAGCCCAATAAGCTTCTTCTATAGCAAGAATATTATTTAATTGTTTCTGGAAGGCACTCTCTAAATTCAAGAGAGATCTATTATCATTCTCCTCTACCAACCGTTTCTGAACATCCTCGAGGGAGTGGAGAATATTTTGTTTGTTTTTGAATATGTTGCCAAAAGTGCTTTTTGTTCCATTTTTCCAGGTTAGTCACTACATTGTTTCTCTTTTTAACAAACTGCATTGCTCTAGATCCCGAGACATCTAGATTCCATGCTTGATTGGTTACCTCATATAAGTTGGGGTCTAGGCACCACATCAATTCAAACCTGAAAGGTTTTGGTCCGTTAACTTGGGGGGAGTCTGTATGAAGAATAAGAAGGGTGTGATCAGATGCCAAGAATTGCAAATTTTGAAGGAGGGTGTTTGGAAATAGTCTCCTCCATTCATTATTAACAAGGGCCCAATCTATAAGCTCCCAAATGGTTTTATTTTTCAAAGTGTGTTGTGAATCCTTTATCTCTAAATCCATTAAGCCACACTCAGAAATGAGATTATTGAAATCCCTCGTCTGGCTTGCATTGACCTCCCTACCCCTTTTATTTTCTCTTAATCTGAATGAGTTGAAGTCCCCTATTAGACAACAAGGCTCATTTATAGTTTCTGCTATATCTTTGATCCAATCCCAAACTTGCCTTTGCTCTATTTTATTGGGGATGCATAAACAAAAGTGCACAACCAAAATTTATTTGAAGAGATTTCGTTGATAGTAACATGCACTAACCTTTCATTAGAGAAGATAATTTTCTGGGGGCGTATGGGTCTTATGGGACAAGAATATTTGCAAGGTCCTATGTTGATTCAGTGTCCATTTTGTGCATCCATTTTTCAGAACTATTTTCACATTTATTTTCCAAGTCAAAATTCATAAAAATATTGCACTTCTTGAGGTATTTTGCAATATGCAAACACTTAAGGTTGTTCTGTTGCACACCACTAGTGAATGATTTACTTTGCTTTCTTCCTACTGAATTTCTTATTTTCAGGTTCTTGATGGGGAAAGAGGGAATGAGTATAGGAGAAAGTTATTACCTTCATATAAAGCACATAGGAGGAAATTCTCCAGACAGTTATCCACAACACAACGTTTTTCAAGGTTTCATATTGGAAGTTCACATCATGTTATCATAGACGTCCTTGAGAAGTGCAATGTCCCGGTGGGTGAATGTTTCATTGTTTCTTTTCTTTTTAATGTAATTTTTCTTTATGGTTCTGTAAATTGAAGCAGCTTTAGCAAAATTACTTCAATGTCCAATCATTGTTGTTTAGACAACAGGGTACCCATGGAGGGTTGCCTCACTTATGTGCCTAGCTATTTTGTATGTGGTGCTATAAAATATTTTTAAATTTATTTTTGAGAGTATAATAATAAAATAGACGTTATAGCACTAAATTATTCATTTTGTGGGTTTACATACTAGCTTCTTTGTATTATTTATATACTAAATTCTCTCCCTCCTTTATATAGTAATTCTTATCATTTATCAAAAAATACTAGTTTTTTATTATTTTCTTTTTTATAGGATTTAATCAACACTCATGTTTTTTGATGAGTAGAATGTTGTTAACATTAATCAACACTCATGTATGCTATCTTGAATCTTTGAAGATTTTAAAACCTGAACCAATGAGGAAGAAAGAATTTAAACTTTTGTGCCATCAATGGTTCTTTTAATGTGAAGTTTATAGTTCTTTTGTGAAGATTATTGATAATCATTAGTGGAGGATGATTGCTTATTGCAATGGAACCTAGGGAATTACTCTATACTCAGGTTTTTTTGTATAAAAAGTTCATTTTCTAGGTGACTAGGCAACAAGGCACCCCCTGTCACCTAACCTCACCTTGGCACCTTGAAAAGTATGTCTTGTGATAGTTTTCTGATTTAGGATTCATGTTCTGGAATATTAAGCCTACACATCAGTGTAAAAATAGAAATTCATTATCAGTTTCAGCTCATTTGTGTCCATGATGTAAGGGATGTATAATTGCTAAAACACCTTCCACCAACCTCATATAAGAAGACACAGATACCCTTAGCATTCCTATCTTTTTTTTTTATTGGTTACTGTGACTTTATTTATTAATTTGTGAAAATAACGTATGGTATATACAGGAAGTATTTGTTTCATCCCACTTTTTAATCTAGTATTGCTTTCTAATCCATGGACCTTCCCTTCTAATCTACATAACAGTAATGTTCATTTTCCCTAGGATTGATCTCTTGAAACAATTGTGTTATGTTGGTCCCTTGTTTAGCCAATACATCAGCAATGCTATTTCATGAATTTTAAATTCAAGTGAAACTAGCTCCTACCTCCCTAGCTAGATGTCTGATTTGATAAACCCAAATAGTTTGGATTAAGGCTGAGCTAAGTTGAGTTAAACTGAAACTTGAATTACTTTGATGACCTTACCAAGTGGCACTACTATATTTCTAAATGAAATAATATAGCAACTAGATAGATATAAATTTATTTTGTCAAGAGTACAAATGCAAAAGACATAAGAACAGGAGGATATAAATATGAGGGCACAAATGCAAAGGGAAAAATGTTTTCACCTGCATCTAGATATTTCAATAAAGACTGTTTTTCAATAACTTTTTGACAGCTAAATTGAGAACATTTGTTGACTAAAAATAAAAGAGGGAAGACCTCATTCTTAAGCTACGGTTATGATGTGCTAGGACAAACTAGATTTGGATGCCTCCCATAAACAGTTCCACAATATCCTTGGGCTTCAGCGTTGGTGGTGGAAAACTAACCTTAATAAAAAGTTACCCTTACCAAGCCTCCCAATATCTTTCTCTTGATGTACCCCATTCCTGCTAAGGTGGCTACTAAACTGGACAAGTTGCAAAAGAAGTTCTTATGGAAAGGAACAATGGAAAGAAAACAATAAAATTCACCAAGTGTACTGGGCAAGAATATATCTCCAGAACCTATTGGCAGCTTGGACCTGCAAAGGCTGAAGGATGTGAATATTGCTCTCCTAAGCAAATTGGTGGTGATAGCTGGTGGCACCAACTGATTACAGCAAAATATGTTCTCAGCACAGGGGTTGGGACACTAGACCAGTCATGGATGAATACTGCTTTTGGCTCCAGAGCCCAGATTGTGATTTTGGCCGGGCTGCTGGTTTGGAGACAGGTTACTAGCTGAATCTTCATGCCTTTATACCATTGCAGAAAACAAGGAAGCTATAGTTAATCAGATGTGGCCAGGTATTGTGTGGTCGTCCAAATTCAGGAGAAATCTCAAAGATTGGTAGATTGGGCACTTGGTGGATATGCTCAGTCTCCTTGTGAAACATCATCAGCCACACTTAAATACATAAAACAGCAGAATTTGAAGATGGGACAAGACTGTCATTTTCTTTGTAAAATCTCATAAGCCATCAAGCACCTTCTTAGTTGGTTTCACCTATAAAATTATTTGGGTGCCTAAAGTTCCCTTTGCGGTGGCATTAATATTGTTTACTGCTGCCCTTGGAAAGTGCCTAACCAGGGACAAACTCATCAGCAAAGCTATTAATCTCCCCTCCACGAGCTGCATTTTCTGTAATTATGATTTGGAGATGGCTAACCACCTGTTTGCACATTGCTCCTTTCATCAACAAATCTGAGCTCATTTTCTAAGCTGCCTCAATGTGAGTTGGGTTTTCCCTAAAACAACTTGTGATTCCTTAGCCAGCTTGGATATAGGTGGACTGAATTGAAAAGTCAAAATGATATGGTACATTATTCTGGATGGAAAGAAACAGTAGGATCTTTGAATCCAAAGAAGTGCTGTTGGAAAGATCTTGTACTGGGTCTCAGTTTTCTACAATGCTCCTAGTCCTGTTTCTGTTAGCACCTGATCTCCTTTCCACTGTAATTAGTATACTTTATGTAATCATTTTGTGAGACCTTCTGAGCTGTCAGTTACTCATTATAGGGCTTTTTTCTGTCTCATACTTCACTATGTAATCAATCATATCTTACCTTCTCAAAAAAAGAAAAAAAAAAGAAAATGAAAATGAAAATGCTAAACTTGGTGCTCAACTTTAATAATTTGTAGGGAGATAATCCAGAAATTCTGGATTTCACCAATAAGGTCTCTATAGAGGTTCACCCCACCAGAAGAAAAGCATGTATTTCAAACCACAATCAAAAACATAAGCTTGGAGAAATGTTCTTGAATTCACTCACAGAGGTTTATCTCATAGATTTAGCCTTCTATAAAAAATATAAAAAAATCACATAGATTAGCCTCCACTCAAAGAAGAATAGGGATGGACCACCAGCCCATGGTTCATGGCTTTGGTTATGATTGATATCTCTCAAATTTAGAAAGCTATTAAATATGTGACAATGTGAACACTCAAACTTTAGAATCTCCTACAATTTACTGAAGCAAATTGAACTAAGGTGGTGTTTGATAACAATTTTCAGACCTCTGAAGTCTGAAAATGTTGCTTTTCAGACGCCACCTATGTTTGGGTTGAGTCTGAAAGTTCAGATCTGAAATGCATTTTTAGATCTGAATTTGTAAGAGGCAGGCCAATGACTTAATGCACTCAGACGTTTTTCAGACTGCGTTAAAAGACAAAAATGCCCATCAATTTCCCTCATCCTCTCCCTCTCTCTCCCATTGTCTTCCAGCCATTGCCCCTGCAACTCTCAGCAGCGGCGTTTCCCTCTCCCTCTCCTTCTCCTTCTCCCCTCTCTTTCTCTCTCTCTCTCTCTCTCTCTCTCTCTCTCCCTCTCCCCTTGTCTTCCCGCCACCACCGCTGCAACTCTCAGCAGCGGCGTTTCCCTCTTCCTCTCCTTCTCCCTGTCCCCCTCTCTCTTCCCTTGTCTTCCCGCCACCGCCGCTGCAACTCTCAGAAGTGGCGTTTCCCTCTCTCTCTCTCTCTCTCTCTCTCTCTCTCTCTCTCTCTTTCTCTCCTTGTCTTCTCACCACTGCCGCTGCAAAGAGTTGTAGCGCTATTCGATTTTCCTCACCCTCTCCCTCTCTTACTCTCTCTCTCTCTCCCCCCGTCTTCCCATCATTGTCACTGCAACTCTCATTAGCGGCGTTCCGGTTCCCTCTCCCTCTCCCTCTCCCTCTCTCTCTCCCCCTCCCTGTCTTCCCACCACCGCCGCTGCAACTAGCAAAAGCAGCGTTCGAATTTTATTCTTAATAATTTATTATTATTTTAAGTCTTAATGATTTATTTTTAATTTATAAATTTATACGTATGTCCAATTTTATTCTTATTTTATTAAATTATTTTTTATAATTTTTATTTGTATTAATTATTAATTATTTGAATTTTTTAATCATTAAATAGTTTAATAGGTTTAATTTAATAATTTGATAATTATTAAATATTTTTTCATTGCTTCATGGACTTAATTACTATTTTCGTTATTATTTTAACTTTTAATAATTTATTTTTAATTTATAAATTTATATATATTTAAATTTTATTCTTATTTTAATAATTTTTAAATTTTTTACAATTTATCATAATTTTTTCATATTTTTCAATATTGTTTTGAATGTAATAAATTATATTTTACGAAATAGTACAAATTGAACTCAAAATTACCAAATAGTATGTTCTAGGGGTAAAATAGTAAAATTAAGGAATTTCAGATGCTGAAGGTTTGATCCAACACAAACAACCTTCTCCGTTCAGAGCCTCTAAAAAGTCGAAAAGCATCTATGTCTCTTTTCAGATTTCAGATGCCATTAATATCTTTTTAACTTTTCAGATTTATCAAACGCCACCTAAGAAATTTCAAGATTAAGATAGAAGGTAAAGGTTCTTACACTAAGTGGTTTGGAACATAGTAGGATACCAAAAGTAAAGGTTCCCTTAGTATACCCAATGCTCTACCACATTTTGAGATCATGCCCCTGATTTTTGTGTTTTTAGAATCTCTGGATATGTAATTTGACATACCTTCCAAGTGCCAAAACCAAAGCACTTCTGCATGTTTTAACATAGGGATGATTTTTCTTCACACTATTTGGCATTGATTTTTTTCATCCTTCATGGGGGTATTGCCTTGCATTGCAACCTGGGTGACCAGGGTTCTAATCTTGGAAACAGCCTCTCTGTATGTGCAGGGGTAAGGCTGTATACATCTGTCCCTCCCCAGACCCCACATTGGTGGGAGCCTCGTACTCTCTGTATGGGAGTATTGCCTTGCATTGTAAATGTAACATGTCTTGATAAACATGATAAATACCCCTGCACTAACATATAGCTACAAGCATAAAACTATGTGGAGACAATCTGTGATTCTCTCCATTAGTAGGCTAAAAAGTTGTCAATAGGAATAGGAATGCAGGTCTTGGTTTTACATGCTGAATTTTTTATGGCTAACAGTTTTAGTTTAACCTATTCAAGGATGTAACTGCAAAGTAATGCAGGTCTTAAAAATTGAAGACCATGAAGCAGATGATGTAGTAGCTGCTTTAGTAGAACAGGTTTTGCAAAGAGGATTCCGAGTTGTTATTGGATCTCCTGATAAAGATTTCAAGCAGTTGATATCTGAGGATGTGCAAATTGTGATACCCATGCCAGAATTTGGTAGATGGTCCTTCTACACATTAAAGCATTACATAGCTCAATATAATTGTGATCCAAGCTGTGATTTGAGTCTTCGTGAGTACAAAATCCTTTACCTTATTTGTAATGATGAAAGTATTTTGTTAAATATGTCCTTAATGTAATACTATTATCTTTTTTTTTATCAAAAACTGATGGGCTTCATTAAATAAAAAACACTTAAATACAAAGAGTGGAGGGGAGATCAGTTTTCTTAGCCCCCCCCCCCCCCCCAAGAGATGAAAACAAAAATTACAATATAGCCCAGAACAAATTGTTTCTGCCCACTCCTTATCCACAAAAAGAAATTATACTTAAAATAAAGTGATTGCAAGAACTTCATTATAGTTGTTGGATACTTGATTAGGGTGTCATGGGTAGATTTTAATATTAAAAATATTTAAGCTTTTGTCTAGACCAAATTATTTCAAACAAAATAATATTGTTTTTTGTCCCAGACAAAACAAAATGTAGTTGTAGGAAAAGGAGAGAAAAGCAAGGTTTCAGGTCAAAAACTTGTATTTCTCAATCAAACTTGACTGAATCATCACAATCACTGGGGTAAAATTACAAGACCTGAGGTCTTGTAATTTCAATCAAATTCTCATAGCTTTTACTATAGCCTTATGAAAGGTTTACAAACCCACTCTCTACAAGACATTTCTTCAGGTCATTGCGGACTTGGTGTTAAAAAATTGAATTCAAAAGAAATGAAGAACTATATTTTTGAAAAATCTAGAATTTTCTAGTTTTTTTTGTGATCAACTCCTTTAGCTAGAGTATCTGCCTAGTAATTTTTGTGATCTTTTAATGCAAGTGAACAACATTCATGTTTGGCCAAATCAAGCTTCTACAAGACAATACTGCATCCCTAGGAGAGAATGCTACTCTGCTCCAGTGTAGCCTATGGTTGCACAAGATGTTTCATTCAAGCTAGAAAAACCATGTGGTAGACCTTCAAAGCAACACAAGGTTCTTCTTTGAATTGCCCTTTTTTTGTTCTTTTAAAGCCCACAGAAGGAACAGTTCACATCTTTTCAAGAAGTTCCGTTCCTTGGAAGTGGTGTTTAGAGGAACTGGGACCAAGTTGGTGAATGGGCCTCTTTTAAGGAGTTACAATTGCATTAGTATCTTCTGTTTTCTTTTTTCCCTTCTTTCCCTGTCTACATTTTCATTAGCTGAAGTGTTATTCTTGATGGGAGTAAAAGCAAGTGTATGCTAAACATAGGATAAAAATAACCATCATAGTTTTCAAGGCGTCTAGGCAATTCTGGGCAACACTAGGGCGCCTAGTCGCCCAGGCGATAAAAATTTTATAATATAAAAAACTGACATTTGGTTACTAGTTTTATATACCATTCAGCATGTATGTTAATTGAAAAAATAGCAATTCTCTTTATAACATTAAATTTCCTCTAAAAATGTGGCAAATCATCACGTTTAAAAGATAAAAATCATTTACATATATTAATTTCATTATTTTCAAAAATAATACTACTATAATAAGTATTTAATAGAGCAAATTCATATTAATTAGTAGCTAAAGAAGGTTATTATGATAAATATTCAAGATGGAAAGTAAAATAGAAAAAAAAAACAAGGATGGAGTTTTTGTTTTATTTAATTAGAGAGAGAGAATAGAAAAAAAAAAACTTTATTATTCTATTGTTTCTTTCCTCTTTCTTTTCTTTCGTTTTTTTCTCTCCTCAAAACCCTTTGATCTTTTAAATTTTGATAGTAAAACATTAAAACAAAGTATAATTGATATATATATATATAGCATATAATAAAATGTATTAACACATACATTAATAAGATGCAGCAATATAAAAGGTGCCTGCCTTGTCACTTTTGTTGCCTAGGCAGGCGCTTAGTCGCCTAGGAGGGTGCCTAGTTGCTAAAAGTCAAGGCGTTTGGGTAAGGTGCCCAGCCAAGGGCACCTAGTCGCCTAGGCGACGCCTTGACAACTATGATAATCATCAAATTGTGAAATGTCTCCTTAAGATAACTAAGTTAGGAACTTTGTTTCTTAATCAAGGAGGTGAGACTTCGAATTTTCCAGGCTTAATGTGAAAACAGAGATTAAGTAATATTTGAAGTGCTAGCATTGTTGCCGAGGCTCAAGACTACAATGGCCTTTCCAAATAGCTACTTCATGGTGGAGTTGGTAGCTTCTGCTTGAACAAAATAATTGTTGGGTTTTGGAGGTCCCTAGGCATCTTGCTAGCTTATTTGTTGGGTTTTGGAGGTCCCTAGGCATCTTGCTAGCTTCTGCTTGAACAAAATAATTGTTAAGGGCCTGGACATATTTTATAACACAGTACAGTGTAGGGGGCTAATAGTCATGTTGATAATTTTGGCAAGTTTTAACAATCAAGAAAAAAGAACTCCACATTGGCAAGATCTGGTGTAAATAGACAACTATTGAGCATGATGAATTATTTCTCATTCTTTCTCAAATACAGTTGTGGTGAGAAATAAGGTTACACATCTATCTTATTAAAATTTTCAGGCTGCAGTATCTCCTTTTTGCATCTATTATGTTCTTTTCCCTTCCAATTGTAAATCTTGTCTGGTTACATCTTGCATATAGTTCAAATTTATTTAAAGGAAATATACATTGATGATCTCCTTGAGGCATTTCCTGATGTCATTTTACTTATTTCCCAGTATTTGTGCAAAGTTGAAAAAAATTCCATGTCACATAAACCTTTTTTATCTATGATATGTCTTGTAGCTGTCATACAACTAGTTCGTACAAGAGAAGAGAACACAGTTCTGAGGTGTAAAACAGAACCAATCGACCCTCAGACACCTGATAAGCTCAGGGCTGATTCTTCTTCATTGTACCCTTAGAGGGATGAACTGGGCAGTCTAGGATGATACAACCATGTTGTTTGCAGTAAGTTCATACATTCTTCGTCTTGCAATGTAAGGCTATATGTCCAAACCCCTTACATTCATAACATTGAGTCTTAGAAAAATCCTTTCCACCAGATTTCTTACTTCCGTGCGCAATGAAAGCAATTTCAACCCCTAAATCAAGTTGCCTCTCCTCTATGTTTGTAGCAGTCATGAGTTTGGTTTCTTCCCTCAACTCTCCCATCACAGAGTCTAAATCCGGAAGGGTAACTCTACTCAAGATGTTAGACTTGATTATTTCATATTCAGGTCTCAGTCTCATAATGAACTAGTTCACATTTCTATTCTCAAAATGCTTTTGTAAATACTTAACACACTCTAGGGGATCAGAGGGATTAGTGTTAACTAGTTCATATTCTGCCCACAAATCAATGACGCCTACATAGTACTCTTGTATCTTTCTATCCCCCTGGCAATAGGCAAAGATCTCAAACTCAATATGATATTGTATTGGCATGTTGGACTGATGATAAACCTACTTCAAATAGGAATACATCTCATAGGTTGTTCACAGTCTTCTCATGGGAATAGAAAAGTGAGGTATAATGGAGCTTAGAATCCAGGAGACTAATTTCCCATTGTCAAGTTTCCATTGTTGAAAAGTCTTTGCTTCAGCTTTGTGAATAATCTTATTCAGTTCAGGTTTGAAGTATGAAAAGAAGAGGAAGGAGAAGAAGAAGAAGAAGAGAAGAGAAAGAGGAGAAGAAGGGTTCGGCAGTAGAGGAAAATTCACCCCTCTAGCCGGCCCACTTTGTATTTATAATGAATAAGTTAAGGTACAAAAAAGACAGTATTGTCCCTTACAAGTGATGGGACACAACTTAAACTTGAATAAAACAGACCTTTCACTTCTAACAAGATAAACCAAAAGACCAAAATACCCCTGTACTGCCGACTCTTAACACTCCCCCTCAAGCTAGAGAGTATATGTCATATAGTCCCAGCTTGTCACATATGTAATCTACTCTGCCCCAAGACAAACCCTTTGTAAAGAGATTTGCCCACTGGTTTCCTAAGCTCACATGATATGTAGTTATCACTCCACTAATCACTTGTTCCCTTACAAAGTGGCAATTTTCTTCAATATGCTTTGTTCTCTCATGGAAGACTGGATTAGAAGACATGTGTACAACAGCTTGATTATCACAGTATAATCTCATGGGTTTGTCAACTGAGAATCACATCTCTTGTAGCAAATTGTTCAACCATACTAGTTCACATGTAGTATGAGTCATAGCCCTATACTCAGCTTCTACACTGCTCCTTGCCACCACTGTTTGTTTCTTGCTCGTCCAAGTTACCATATTGCCACCAAGGAAGGTACAATATCCTATAGTTGATCTCTTGTCTGATACAGAACCAACCCAATCAGCATCTGTATACCCTTCTATCTCCAGATTTCCTCCACTTTTGTAAAGTAGACCACGACCTGGAGCACCCTTCAAATACCTAACAATTCTTGGAACTGCTTCCCAATGTGGAATCCGAGGATGTTGCATAAACTGACTCTCCATACTTACAGCAAATGATATATCTGGCCGTGTGATAGTCAGATAGTTCAGTTTTCCCACCAATCTCCTATACCTTCCAGGATCATCAAATTCTTCACCTGCATCCACACTCAGCTTAGCATTTAGTTCCATAGGTGTCTCGATTGGTTTAGCACCTAACGGCCCTGTTTCTTCAAGTAGGTCAAGGACATATTTCCTATGACATAAGTTAATTCCATGCCTTGACCTTGCAACTTCTATTCCGAGGAAGTACTTCAGGTTACCCAGATTTTTTGTGTTGTAGTGATCCTGAAGGAAGTTATTCAACCTGTCAATCCCATTACTGTCACTCCCAGTTATGACAATATCGTCCACATACACCACTAGCAAGATTTTCCCATCTTTTGAGTCATGGTTGAACACGGAATGAATGACCTGACACTGTTTCATCCCAAAGTTTTTCACTACTTCACTGAATCTACCAAACCATATACGTGGAGATTGTTTCAGCCCATAAATTGCCTTTTTAAGTCTACAAACCTTACCATCCTCCCCCTGAGCAACAAACCCTGGTGGTTGCTCCATATATACCTCCTCAATTAGATCACCGTGCAAGAAGGCATTCTTGATGTCAAGTTGCAATAG